ACACTAATAACCTGCAGGCTCCCATCGGTAGAATGCATTCATTAGTAAGCGTCTCACAAGTGCATATGTCTTGTCACTGGTATACCGACAGTGGTGTTTTTGCTTGTTTTGCTTGTCTTGGCCCATTTATTCCAAATCACATATACCTTACAAACCTCCAGGGCACTTTCCGAACACACTGTCCATTAGGTTCATTCTATGTTCCATATATATTTTACTGTGGCATGAAAATCAACTTGCAGAGACTTGAAACTTGTCGAAGTAGCGCAGTAGGTAATCAAACACATTGACGTAAAACTGAAACAATAAGTTAATTGATTAGTCAATTGACAGGAAATTAATCAGCAACTACTTTGGACTGTTGGTCAGACAAAACATTTAAAGACCACTGCATTCTCGAAATTATTAATTGAGAAAATCATCAGAAGATTATTCAATGAGGAAAAAAGCTTTTAGATTTTAGTTGCACCTCTATGAACATCCAGCTAGGTTTTATTTTGTTGAAAAGATGGATTCGTTTTTAGATGGTAAGAGTCTAATGGCTCTGTGAGGCTGTATAGGCACAGTGATACTTTGAGTTAAATGTTAATAGAAGCATGACAAGACTTAAACATGGTAATGTTTATCAAGTATAATGTTAATGATGCTAATGTTTATCAGGTATAATGTTGGCCAATTTCGCAGTCTTAGTTTAGTGTGTTAACTTGCTAACCTTAGCTAATCAGCATTAAACACAAAGTTGGTCTGAGGCTAATGGGAATGCCATTTGTTTTAAGGTATTTTGATCTTATCGTATGGAGCCTGGGAGGTGTCATGGGGGAAAAAAATGTTGGCATGATTTAGTAATTTGTGCTCTCGATAACTTATCACCTTCATGCCATTAGTCTTGTCTTGTGTGTACCCTTCACACTCTCGTAGATCGCTTAGATTTAATATGGTTTTCCTTTTATCTTGGACTGAGATGTGGATATACTTTGGGTTTTGGATATTAAACACAACGTTTCAGAGCCCTAAAATGCATTTTACAGGATAATGGTAAAGGAAAACTTTGATGATGGATGTCATCCAGTTCATAAAAACCCAGTTTAGGGGTTCTGTGGCCTTTCCTGAATGTCTTTGTTGTCTTCTTCAAAATTCCGACTGACTGAATGCACTGCACCAAAGGCATTTGCCACTTTCTGTTTTTTTAAATGTTCTTTTCCAGCTCGACACCTTCTGGGCTCTGCATGTAGTACTGTACAATTAGAAATGTTGACCTGATAATTGGGCTAAAGTTAAGGGGCTACCAAAGTTATGACAATTTATCCGGAGGGACCATGAATGAAAAATGTCAACGTCAATCCATCCAATTGTTGTAACATTTCACAAATATGAACCTGCTAATGGGGCTTGAGGAAGGAGTAGCCTTATCTTCTGTACCACGTTTAATGACACTCCATCCAATAATTGCTGAGATATTTCAGTCTGGACCAAAGTGGCCAATATAGTCACACTGCTATCATGGTTAAAAATGTGCCAGTGTTCTTGGTCATCCGTTACCAAGCAGCAATATAGTTTAATACAAAAAGCTACCATTTGTCTTTTTTATGATGTCCTTTTTTGCTTAATACAACTGGGTATTTTTGTAATCAGTAAGCTCATTTTCATCACATCTAATTCAAGCTGACCTCACACATGCAAGCTCCCACATGAATGACATCAGCTATTCAAATGCACTCTTTCATCAAATTTTCAAATGAACCAGTTACGGAACAAACTACAAAAATAACTTCTTGTCCTTGTAGAGTAGAGACCACACCAGTTACATGTCTGTTGTCGTCAGCTGTGAACAGTAACACAACACAGTTGTCTCATATCACTAGGTTTAGAATAATAATGTTAACACAGAAAAACACTGTAAGCAGGCTGAGTGACCAAAACACAACAGGCTGACATTTTTAATTTTTTGGCTGTCCTGATATAAGATAAGCTGTCATGGTGGAATTTGCAGGGTTTGTTGTAGACTGTAAAACACTAAAATTTAACATATTGTGATGCCAACAGGGATAAAGAGTATCTTTGGTAAAGTAGTTGGTATTGCTCAAAGGAACTCTTACATATGCTCTAACAGAGGTGATGTATCGTGTATCCTTGTTCAAGACTCTCAGGGAAGCTTCCTTACTCCTTGATCTTAGCTCATCTAAAAAAACGGGAGCACTGCAATGTTCTTAATGATAAAGGACCCAGTCAAGTTCTGGGTTGAGGATATAAAAGCCTAAGGAGTAAAGAATGATTTACTTTTTCCTTTCTTCTCTTCTTCTGAACAAGGTGAAGATGTAAAATGTAACACTTAATGGGCCAGTGTGTAGGATTTAGTGGCACCTATGCAGATTGCAACTACCTCGCTTCGCCCTCCCCTTCTAAGTGTGATGGAGAAACTAATGTGGCTGCGGAACTTTGGTTTGGTTTGTCCCTTCTAGGCTAGAAACATTGTATAAAAAGGAAAACTTGTGGTTCATGCGGGGCTTTGGTGCCAGATTATTTCTTGCCAGAGAGTAAGAAGTCACTGCTCCACTCCAAGAAATGATCAGCCACACGACTCCAAACCACAACGTCTCATTTTCATTTATTAATCAAACAAGATATGACGTGTGTGTTAGTGAGCTTTAGAGGTGCTAGGAGGTAGATTTTGCTTCCTTTGAGCCAGGTTAGCTATTTCCCCCACTGTTTCCAGTGTTAAAGAAGCAAGCGAATAATCTTACCTAAAATGAACTACTTCTTTAATAGGCAGCAGTAAGTCCTTGAAAGACCTACAGTACAAGACTCTGTGTTAATATTGCCTTGACTCTGGACGGAGAGCCCCTGTACGCTGGTGAAGTGGAACATTTCTATCCTGTTTGAAGCTGGAAGTGTTTGCACTGCAGAAACCCAAGTAGTGCTCTACTGCAAAGCAGAGCTGTCACCTCAGTGCGTAAAAAGGCACTTTAGGGTGACATAACAAATAATGTGTCTGGGCACCAGAAGTGCAATTGATTGCAGGTAAAGAGAGCACTGACATGATTCCAGTCCAGGCAATTGGTGCCTCTGTGGTATCTTTGGCAGTGACCAGAAATTCAGATTAAACAGTTTAAACAGTACAAAGATGATTCTGCCTTTGTTTGAAGAAGTCTTGTTCCTGATTTTATTCTGGCTATTTAGTGGTAAGCTGGGAAGATAATTCAAATTTCAAATGTTCAAAATGTCCTTCTTTTTCTGTGTTCATACTGAGTTTGAAACATCTCTGCTCCTGCATTGACTATGTTATATTCAAAGGGTAATACAATATGAATAGATTCACTTCAGATTCCCAAAATACATAAGCAACAAGACTGGTACTTTATATAAAGCCAAGAATACACTTTGTCTTGTTCATTTGAGCCCATCACTTTTCATACTTTCTGCAAATACTTGCAGGAGTATTTGTTTGAAAGGGAGTTGATCAAACCAGAGGCAGTTTTAATGAAACATGTACAGAGTTAACCGTCTTGTATCCTTCATGCTTGTCAAGCTGGATCATTTTTGGCCTCAAAGAAGCTCAGGTTGCGGATGTCTCTGCCAGGAAAGCAGACAGGCAAGACAAATAGATTCCTGCAGCCTCGCTCTCACCCCCCTCCGACCTGGCGGGATGAGTTCGTCTGTCATGCCCTTGTGAAGAGAAGCCGGTGGCTGTCCTTCTGCCTGATGGAATAACGCACCGGGCACCTGTCCGCGCTGCTACATGCCTCACTAGACGCTATCTTGTAACCATAAACTCTCCCTCGTCTGTGGCTTCCCCTGACGATGCCATGACAATATCACAGGAGGTTTTCCTTCCTCTTTCTGTATCTTGACATCTGAAGCTTCTCCTCGTAAAAGCAGAGTCATTTTCAGATAAACTACTCTGTCCTTCCAAATCCTGTCTTCTCCCTGCCGTGGCTGTGCTATCAGATCCTGGGGGATCGATGGGCTGCTGGTAAGAAGACTCCTGCTTCACCCTCAGTGAACCGAGTGCTAATTACCAATTCAATCCAGTGTCGGAGAGTGGCAGCCTGCACTTCATTTGACTGTGTCCTCCTGTTTTTAATGGGACCTCCACCCGGCACAAGGTTAAGCCAGGTCTTTGAAACAGGAGTGTGTATTGGAAAGAGCAGCAAAGGCAAAGTGCGGTCTTTGTAAATAATGTGTGGCTTTTTCAAATAAGCTCCATGGTATGACACAGCCCATTAATTCAACCTGCTGCAATATCTCTTGGCCTTTTGCTCTAAAAGCATATTTTAACAGGGAGTTAACTGAATTGTGAAAGCAGGGCACTTAACGTGGCAATTTTTCATCACAATATCATTAGTACATGACGGTGATTACCCAGAGTGTTTATGCTCTGCAGCAACAGGGCACTGACTCCAACAGCATTATCACACACACTGTTTCTTGAAACCAGATCAAACTCTGGGATACTTTACTCTATATTACATTTTTTATTGATGTTATGCCACTTAAATAGTGAGGGTAGATTAGGCTATTTTAGATGGTGGGATAGCAGTGGTTCAGACATCAATAGAGTGTCTCCTGGATACCTCTCAGTTAGGTAACTATAGGTACATCCTATGTGCCAAAAATAGCCGTAGCTCTAGAGGTGTAAATCTGCACTGGCCTCACGATTCAATTCAATTACAGTTCACCTGTCAACAATTCAATACGTCTCAATGTATCGCATCACCAAGTGCAAAAACAATCTGACTACAACAGTCCATAATAAGGCTTATAGTCTTGTGACACAAGTCCTGTTTACAATTTGACTGGAATATTTCAAAGAAGAGCTAGGTAGTTGCGGGTAGTAGTAGCATGAAACATGATCGTGACCTTGGCTTTGCTCACTGTAAGGCTCTGTAAAGCCAAAGGGAGCTGCAGATTCAGCGGATAATTCTCAAGAGGTTAGAGCTACGAGCAACACTTTTCACAGTGTCATATTTACTCCTAACTTATTTCCCTTTCCTTTCTTTCAGAGTCGGAAACACGCCAACAAAGTGCGGCTGTATTACATGCTACATCCTGTGGATGGAGGCTGCCCTGCCAAGAAGCTCCGAACAGACAATGTGAGTCCTGTGTGAATTATACATCTTATGGTCCATCCCACTGTATGTCCTCCCGCGTTCTCAGTAATCACTGAGTAACATGCACACATCAATCCACAGATGGATTCCCCCCCCCCCCATCGACCGCTCCCCGTGTCAGAATGGCTGAGAGATAAAGAGCAGTGCCACGTTTCTAACCCAATGAACAATGCGACAGGGACGCGCTGCGATCGGATGCAAGGGGATGCCATCAAACACAATGGTACTGTGTTTGATGGATTGTGAGGTAGCCGGCCCTCCCAGCCTTCCCTGTCATGTAAATTGGAAGTACATGATGTGTTTGACAAGCACAATTATGTGGCCTGTCATTCCCTGTTCGATTAGCGTTCGGGTGGTGATGTGCGCTGTTTGGTTGGTGTGGGCTTTACCACTCAAAGCAACTTCTGCTCCTCTGTGCCTCTGTTGGGGAAAGACAAAAACAGGGCTTTTACATCCACTTTGCAGCCCTGCCCACACTCAGACAAGCATCCCCATGTTGAGATTCCATGGTGCATGTTCAAATGTTATGTTACTGTAGTGTCACAGTGAAAGGGGGCATTTCCATTCCAAGTTCCTTTTGAGTGGAGTTTAGGGTTGGGCTGGCTGGGTGGAGCAGGTGAGGAGAGGCTGTGGAGAGATTGGAGTGGAGGGACTCTGGTCTCTGCTGTGATTACTGGGAGTTCACCAGCTATCAGTCTGGGAATCTGGGCTTCTGAACCAGATAAGGACACATCAAGGGGCACTATTGCTTTCTCTCGCTCCCTCAGCTCATCTTACAGTCTTGCTATCCTGTTTCTGTTTCACTTCACATTTCTCCTCCAACCCGCCGCTCTCTACTCTGCCTCCATGAATTTTTTTGTTCTCATTGCCTCATCTGCCCTCTGTCTCCCCATTCACTGTCTGTTTTTCACCATTCCCTTTCCTCTTGCCTCTTATGTTCCTTTTCTTTCCACTTTTCTATCCTTCCCTTCCCTTTCATTTGCTCTGCTTTGATTTTCTTCTCTTCCCTTCTTTCTCTATTCTCCTTCTCACCCATTTCCATTACTCTCCTCTCCCTTTCTATTGTTTTCCCCTGCCTATCTTTTTTCTGCTCTTTTCATCATCATCGCCTCATTTTCTTTCCTCTCGTGTCTCATATCCTATTTTTTTGTCCCCTTTCCCATTTTCTTTACTTTCTGTTTCCGTTAGTTCTCCTCTCACATTTTTATCTTATTTTCCCTTTTTTCCTCCTTCACTTTTCTGCTGTTTCCCACATGTTCCCTTCCCCGCTTGTCTTCTACTCCCCTCTCCTCCTCTTCCTTCCTCACATTGTACGCATTTCTTTCTCTGACTGTTTCTTTGATTAGATTTTTTTGCGATCCCTCAGAGAGAGGGGTCTTGTAGTCTATCTCCTGTCAGCGTTGTGCTGATGCTTTTATCACTCGCTCTGAAACCACGTGGGATCAGAGTGATAAGTGATGAGACTCGATCGTAGGAACTGTGCTTGCTAGTACCTTCCTGTCAGACAACACAGATACAACTTACTGTCTTACCGTTTGATACACAGTGTCATACTGTACACTATTCTTTCACCATCAAGATGTATTATGAATTATATTAATGATACTGAAAAGGCAACAATATTCATTGCTGATGTAAAAAAGAATCCCCACTTCCTGGCACATGTAACCACAGGGATGTAGTCATTAGGGACATTTGTTGCATAAAAGTTGGCTACTGTAAATGCTAAAATAGTGGCTGAAGCATTTATTTGGAACAGGCTTATATTAGAAACAAGCCATTATTCCTAAAGTGCCATGTTTTTGGGTAATGCAACTCAATACTCCCTTGGCACACGTTTCAATTGATAAATCCTCTAGTGGCTCAGTGAAAAGAATGCTTCACTTTCCTGTTAATCTGCAAGAAGTGTTGGTTGTTATTGACAGTCGCTTAATGGTAGTGATTGAAAAAAAAACCTTAGACCCTTTAAATGACATTAATAAAATAACAGTGTAAAAATACTACAAATATTCTGATTTTTATTCAAAAAATTATTTCAAGTGATTTCTGTATTACACTCCAATAAAGTTAAAGGACTCACAAACAAAAAAGGATTATAAAAGAAATGAAGTTTTTGGTTGTAGGGGTGCAACTAATAATTCATTTTTTATAAAATGTCAGAAAAATGCTCAAAAAGACCAAAGTGACGTTCTCAAATGTCTTGTTTTGTCCACATGATTTTTCTTACAAACTGACTCAAAACAATTAATTGATTATCAAAATAGTTGGTAGTTAATCAATTCATCGTTACTCGTATATAGTATGGGTCATTGAACCAAGTCAAATGTCAAATAAACATAGTGTTTTAAGTACATTTGCCTCTAAAATATTATTAAGTATTACGAAGCATAATATGGGAACACTCAAACAAAGTACAAGTCCCTTTAAAATTTCACATTTTGTAAAACATAAAAGTACTTACTTACTTACTTACTTCCTTACTTACTTCCTCCCAGCATTGTAGCAGTCAAACCATCATGGGACATTGCTCCATAGTAAATGTTGCTAATAAAACATTCATGTATCATTCAGAAGTGTCTAAGGTAGAGGCAGTCGTATTTATTCCTCTGTGGTCTATACTATTATTGCTCTCAAAATCAAAGCTGTTTGTATTTTGTGTACGGCTGTCAGATAGAATCTGTACCTGCTTTGTACTGGCTGTGTTAGCGGGGACGGCAGGGAAATTGGTTACTACATGGATACAGCTGTTCTTCCCAGATTCACTGTCCATACTGCAGCACCACTGAGCATGGGACTTAACAGGAAAAGGGCTCCTGTTGAATGTCCTATACTAGTTCATGTGAGATGACCTTGGCTTGTGTCATCTACAGTAAAGGCCTTGCTGTGGATTGTGTTGTTAATTTTTGCTGTGCTTTATGCTGGAGTAGTAATTAAGAAAAGTCATGCTGTTCCACACTACAAAATGACTACAATATATTAAAAACTCATTTTTGAAACAAAATCCCAGTGTCTGATGTCACTGATTAAAACATCTTTAGTGGCATAATCAACTGCTGTCGTGTCTGGTTGAGAAAAAATGAGTCAACGCCCAATTCATAGGGTTGACCATTCCTGTTCATGTTCTCTTTAGTAATACCAACCTCTTATTGTCAGTAAGCAGCTGATCACGTGTTAAGGTTGAGCTTGAGATACATGACCTTTTTCACAGCAGCCATTTGACATGAAATAGCAGGGTAAACACAAGTGTTACCAATTATACTTATTAATAGGGTTGGTTAAAAAAAATTACATATTGCAATATTTTGCTTTGTGATTGATCGATGTAGTATTTAAACCCCAAACCAAGAAAGCAGTGTTGTAAACTGAGTGCTTTAATGTTGAATGTTATAGATAAATACAAATGCAAACAAAAGTAGACTTAGATTTTATGCATATTGTGTTCCGTTGCTTATTGCCATATTTCGCAATATATGGAACTGTGATATGTATCGCCAGATTCTTAACAATACACTGCCTTACTAATTAAGGTCCTGTTCCATTCAGGTCAAACTGATTCAGGGTGCTGCTACTGTGCATGTTGGCTCACTGGAAATTGTCATTACACCTGTATTTCCTGTCAATGGCTGGCATAAGGGTGGAGATATTCTACGTTCTTGAATCTGAAATCTTTGCATTGATCTGAACCTCAGTGGTTGCCTGGTGTCCATTCCCACTGATGATATAAATCTATAAAAAAAAAATGGGCCATGAATATCTACTTTTACTTAGCCGGGTGATGTAGTAGCAAAATGTTACTCAAACAGGATGAAATGGGGAGTTTGTGCCATAGTAAATGTATGCAGTATGTGGGATCGTGTGTTTCTCTTATTGGTAGCATGTCTCCCAGTGTAACAGTGTGTCTCATTGATGTTTTTCAATAATTTCTGGACAACAATGGAGCTCTATGGCACAGAGGATGGAGCTATATCTGGCTTTGGATACAGACAGTCCCTGTTATTAGATACATTCATTGTTGGTTTGGGCCTTTTTATGCTATGTGTTGACAGGTAAAAGAACATAGAAAATCACCAAATTTATTCTTTAAGAAATTTTAAAATCAGAAGCTTACCTGATTAGCTACTGCTAGGCATGGAACGATATGGGAATTTCATGACACAGTTATCTTAAAAGAATTGCGATACACATTATCATCATGATAATCATGAAAATATACTTCATATTTTATGTGAGTGCATAATATTGTAAATCGTCCCATCCCTACTGCTTCCTGCTATTACTTCAGAAGCCGTTAACCAAAGGGTTAAGGGTTAAGCTTCCAGAGTGGAACTTGAAGCGGCTTTGTGTGGAAATGTTTCACAAATTGCTCCTGACAGATAAATTAAAGTTCAAATGAAAACTCAACTAATAGGATTAAGTCAATGACCATAAAGTCTGTAAGCCTATTCAATAAATCAGCCTGTATTGTATTTGCCTCTGGCTGTATTTTGTTTTAGTGGATACAAACTGTCTAATATCCAAGGATAAAGTTTGCCATAGAGACAACAAAGGCAGGGCTATTTTAATAATGCCGTGAACTGAGGGACCGGTTTATGTATCAAGGGAGCCACACCCATAAAAACTACAATAAAATGAAGCCCATTAAATGTAAAAGCCTTGTGCCCAACTTAAATTCAATGCAAATGCTGCAACTTCAGGATTTTTCTCCAGGCTGTTTTGCCCTAAAAAACTATCAAGTTTATTGTTATGACTGCAGTGGTATACAGTAAAAAATGTCCTTATGAGGCATCCATCAAACCCAAATTCAGCTCCATTGCGCTCCATTTGACATCCATTGTTGACAGCGAGTGTATTGCTTGTAACAAGATGTCATCCACCAGGACAACAACCATCAAATCTGCCCATTGAGACATGTTCCCTCCCCATCTGCATTTCACAAATCAACCGCCGACATCAGCTCGCTAATAGGCACACGGACCTCTGTA